GCGGGGGCCGGGGCCGCGCTTCGAGCGGGGGGCTCGTGCTCGGGGGCCGGCACGGAGCCGGGGCAAAGCCAGCTCCCCTCCCGCGTTTCCGCTGCGGATTGAGGCCGGCGGAGCTCGGGGCGCAGCCGGGCCGGTGCTTCCAGCCCTGCAAACGTGGGGCTCAGCCACGAGTCGCGCCGGTCCCAGCATCCCTGCTCCGGCGCCAGGCGTCCAGCTTGGGAGCGCTGGGACGTGGGGCCTCCTGCAGCCCCAGGCGAGCGTGGGCCACAGAGCCCGAGCGCTCGGGGGCCGGGTGCAGGCCCCCGCCTCCGTCCGGGCTGCATGTCTGGGGCTGGGGTGCCCCAGCCCAGCCTGGCGCGGGGGGGCGAGAGGCCGCCTGGATGGGCATCCACAGCCCAGCCGGAGCGACCGCGCCGTCGCCTGTCTTCTGTCCAGTCTCCTCCGAGGCCTGGGGCCGGGCAGGCACTTGCCCCTGCCCCTGCCCCACATGGGTGCTGGGCCCTGCCCTGCCCTGCCCTGCCCTGCCCACGCCACCTCTGCTGCGACTCCGTCTGAGTCTGGGGGCAGGCCTGGGAGTGGGGGGAGAGCTGGCCGAGGACCCTGCCCTGGGATGGCGGGTGCTTTGCCTTTCTCCGGGGGGCTGCTGAACAAGGCTGTGACCTTAACGAGGCTGGGCGCAGCTCCTGGAGCTGATGGTGGCTTGGCAGCCAGGAGCTGCAAGCGGGTGCTGGAGGTGTCCGGCCAGCGTGCGGCTCGGGGAGCAGAAGCCTGTCCTTGCGATGGCACCAGCCCGGTTTGGGGAGAGACCTCTCCAAGGAGCACCAGGGCGCGGGCCGGTGCCAGTGCCCATGCCGCAGCCCTGCTGCAGGGCTCTCTGGGGGCGCGGGCAGCCTGGGCAGCGGCCTGTCTCCCCACGGCACACCCGAGGCCAGCGCTGGGAGCCTCGGCTGCTGCCTTTTGGGCGCTGGGGCAGCTGGCCTGTGCCCCGGTGCATTGAGATGCAATCAGCTTTGGAACGAGGGGGGGCGGACTGGAGCTGGGGGCGCGCACGGGTGAGGGGCTGCCCCAGCCCCACCGCTGCAGGGCGTGGGTGTGACGTCCTGTGCAGCATGGAGCCACTCAGCACCTGGTTGCATGGCTCTTGCGTGGCTTTCTGGGCTGCCCCTTGTCCCCACCGGGCTCCCCGCCAAGGGTGTCAATGCTTTAGCCATCCATGGAGGCTGGTGCCAGCTTCACCCATGCCCTGCCCTGGTGCTGGGCAGAGCGGGGCAAGAGCGAGCGGAGGGTGGACGGACAGGTGGGCTGCTCCAGCCTGAGCCCTGCCAGGGCCGGGCCGATGACGCGGTCGGGGCAGAGCCCGGGGGCAGAGCCCGGGGCGTCTGGGTGGGCGGCACTGACGCCCGGCGGCTCCCTCTCCCCGCAGGCTGAGAAGAAGGCCAAGGTCATCGCCGTGATGAACGTGGTGGAGGAGACGCCCCGGGCAGAGACCCAGAAGGAGGAGGAGGCCAGCCCGCCTGCCTCGCAGCAGCCCACCGACCCTGCCTCGCCCAATGTGGCCACCACGCCTGAGCCAGTGGTGGCCGACGCCGTGGACAAGAGCACGTCCAAGTCGGCTGACGACGAGCCGGAGTATGAGGTGAGTGCCGTGGGGCCGACAGGGTGGGGGAGCCCGGGCATGGCCCTCCAGACCACCCCCCAGCCCTGACTGTGCTCTCTCCCGCGGCCCGGCAGGATGGCCGCGGCTTCGGTATCGGTGAGCTGGTGTGGGGCAAGCTGCGCGGCTTCTCTTGGTGGCCCGGGCGCATCGTGTCCTGGTGGATGACGGGGCGCAGCCGCGCGGCCGAGGGCACCCGCTGGGTCATGTGGTTTGGAGACGGCAAGTTCTCGGTGGTAAGTGCGGGACGGGGGAGACGGGGCCGGGGGCTGCCCCGGGGCCAGACCCTCCGGATCTCATGCCCGCTCTGGTCCCCACAGGTCTGCGTGGAGAAGCTCCTGCCCCTCAGCTCCTTCTCCAGCGCCTTCCATCAGGCCACCTACAACAAGCAGCCCATGTACCGCAAAGCCATCTACGAGGTCCTGCAGGTGAGCAGGGGCTGGGGCTCTGCTGTGCTGTGCTGTGCCACGCGTGTCCCCTGAGCCCTGGACAACCCACCTGGTGTCCCTGGGGCGTGGCCTGTTTGGGGTGGGCTGGAGCCATGGGCGCCAGAGCTGCCAGGGAGCGGGGAATGAGGCTGGGGCCTGGGCGGTGCCAATGCTCCTGCTGCACCAACCCCGCAGGGTCCCGGCTGGTGGGTCTTGCCCCCGCGCTCAGGCTCAGTCCAATGCCACGCTGGGGCAGGAAGGGATTTCCCCCCTGCTCAGACTGATCCGCACTGGGGGGGCTTGCCTTCCTCTGCAGCGGGGGCACGGCCTCATGAGTATACGAACCCCCTTTGCAGCAGCAGGACGTTGGCAGCCGTGACCTCCCGTTTTCCCAAGGGCAGGGGCGATGCCTGGGGCTGTCAGGGGTGACCGTAGTTTTGCTCCGAGGTCAGACACGGGGTTGGTCTGGGCTGGTTGGGACGGGGCTGATCCTGCTTCGGGCTGGGCTTGAACTAGACGTTACCCCTGGGGCTCCCTGCCAGCCCCTTGGCTCCGGGACCCTGAGCTGAGCCTGTTATCTGCCTCCTGAGGGAGTGAGCTGGCACCTAGCCTCCGGGCTTAAGGAAGTGGTGCCCCCTGTGCTGACTCCTAGGCCCCCCAGCCGTGCCTTGCCCCGGGCTGGGGGACGTCTCTCCCACCTCAGGGTAGTGCCAGAGGCCGTGCGGGCTGTGCAGGGAGTCCTGGCAGCAGGGGGACGTGGGAGGCAGGGGGCCGCAGCCGGGGCCTGGGGCACAGCAGGTGACCAGCTGGAGCTGTCCCTGCAGGTGGCCAGCACCCGGGCAGGGAAGATCTTCCCGGCGTGCCCCGAGAACGACGAGACGGACACGTCCAAGGCGGTGGAGATCCAGAACAAGCAGATGATCGAGTGGGCTCTGGGGGGCTTCCAGCCATCGGGGCCCAAGGGCCTGGAGCCGCCAGAAGGTACGTGCTCCCGGGGGCAGGTGGATCCGGGGCATGGCGTGGGCTGGTGTGTGGCTTGATGTCTCCCCCTGGGCGTTCATGCAGGCCCGGGTCCCGCGTCTCCGCAGAGGGTGGCTGGGCTTCTGCACCACTTCCCTGCAGGCTCTGAGCCCAGCCCGGGGCAGCACGCGGGGGTGTTGGCACCGCACCGCACCGCAAGTCCAGCCAAGCAGACCTGTCCCTTCCCCCAGCACCTCTGGGGCTGCAGCCGGGGCTGCTATAACCTGCCTCATGGCTGCAGACAAGACCAGCGGGGTCGGTCTCTGGGAGCACCCGGCCTCGGTGGGGAGGGCAGGCTGAGGCCCCCTGCGGCCCTCGCTGACGGCCCCCTTTTCCCCCGGTGCAGAGGAGCGCAACCCCTACAAAGAAGTTTACACAGAGATGTGGGTGGAGCCAGAAGCCGCCGCCTACGCCCCCCCTCCGCCCGCCAAAAAGCCCCGGAGAAACACAACGGAGAAGCCGAAGGTCAAGGAGATCATTGATGAGCGCACCCGAGGTACCTGCCGGGTGGTGGGGGGCGGCTGGGCACAGTGCCGGGGGCCGGGGCATTGCTGCTGCTGTTACCAGGCCCTGCCGCGTGCTGGCATTGGGGACACGGGGAAACCTGGCCTGCGGGAGGGTCCCAGGCTCCCCCACCCAGTCTGGCCTGGTCTCCCAGGGGAAGAGGAGCTGGAGCAAGTCCGGTCCATGCTCCCCAGGCCCCAAGGGGATGCTCTCTCCACGGGGCAAGGGTCTGGTTTCCAATTCCAGGCTCATCCTGGACAAGACACTGCCTCTGGAGCGGGGCAGACCTAGTGCTGAGCCCAGCCACCAAAGCCCCAGCAAAGGGAGCTGGGATGGCAGGGGGGTCCTGAGTGTCCCCTCCGCTGCCGGGCAGAGCCTTCTGTTGTCTTAGTTGGGGGGCCCGTATCCCCGATAGTATTGGCAGCGTGCTGTACTGTGACCCGGGGGCTACAATGGCAAGAAGCTGGACAGGAGCCAGCAGTACGCCCTTGGTGCCAAGAAGGCTACCGGCATCCTGGGCTGCATTGGCAGGAGCGTTGCTGGCAGATCGAGGGCAGTGGTTCTTCCCTCTATTCAGCACTGGGGAGGCCACATCTGGAGTCCTGTGTCCAGTTATTGTCCCCCCTACAGAAAGGATGTGGGCATGTTGGAGGCAGTCCAGTGCAGGGCAGTGAAAATGGTTGTGGGGCTGGGGGACAGGACTGGTGCGGAGAGGCTGAGGGAACTGGGCTGATGGAGTCTGGAGAAGAGAAGACAAGCGGCGGGACTGAAGAGCAGCCTTCACCTCCCTGCAGGGGGGCTGCAAAGAGGATGGAGCTGGGCTGGTCTCAGTGGGGGCAGGTGACAGGACAAGGAGCAATGGGCTCAAGCTGCAGCAAGGGAAGTTGAGGTTGAATATTAGGACTTTCTCACCATGACGGTAGTGATGATGACGATGAAGTGAGTGTTGCCACACTCATGTTGGAAGCGTGAGGGCCAGAAAACCAGCGACAGTAGAATGGTCAATGTCCGTAAGACCGTGGGTACCTGAAGGAGGGCCATGCGGGCATTCGAAGATGATGTGGTCAGCCACCTGAGCTCGAGCACCGCAGCTGCAGCCAGCGTCGCTGGAGAGGCCTCAAGGGTGCATGCTTGCCCGCTCTGAGACGGTTAGGAGCAGTCCAGGCCCCGCGGGGCAGCTGCCATCCCGAGGGGCAGAAGCTGGGGTTGGGGATGAAGGTCTGGAGCCGCAGCTCTCGTGCAGCATATTGCCTGCTCCACAGGCTGTGGGTGACGAGCCATTTGCAGATTCGATGAGCTTATTGGCCTGAGTGGAGAACGGGTTCAGAGACATCAGGCAGTTATTGGTTTTCTGGCTTATGGCAGCTAGGCTGGAGTACAACGAATGGTCTGGATTTGGGGCTTTGGGGTTAGGGCCAGGGTAGCAGCTTATCCCCAGATGCGGGGCAGGGGGGGCCTGAGAGAACTGGGAACCAGTCAGCTGGGGTTGGCATAAGGCATCCGACGATGATCCTCACGGTGCTGTTATGGCTGGAGGCTGCTGGTGTGCGTGCCCCGGCCCCAGACAGCCGCACAGCGCATGGCAGGAGCACATGCAAGTGCCCAAGCGCAGGTGCAAAGTGTTTAGAAACTTGCATCCCAGCAAGGCAATGGATTAGAGCTCCTCTGCTGTTAACCTTGCCCTGGACCGCTTCTAGATGCTGGCCGTAGGTGGTCCGGCTTGACTCCTAAATAAGTAACGGTGTGACAATTTTCAAGTGTCTCGTTGCCAATCTCCACTTTGGAGGGTGGTGAAGCACTGGAACAGGCCCCCCAGAGAGGTGGTGGAGTCTCCATCCTCGGTTTAACACCCGGCTAGACCAAGCCTTGGCTGGGAAGATGTAGTTGGGGCTGGTCCTGCTTGGAACAGGGGTGCCCTCCCGTTCCCCTCTCATTTGGGGGCAGCAGTGGGTGCCGGTTATGTTTGAGCGTCCATGGGGTGGTGCCAGAAGGGCCCCAGAGGCAGTGGCCTGGGCCTGGCAAGATCAGCCCCGACGCCTGTGCCAGGAGCACCAGCAGAGCCCGGGCTCCGTGTGGGACCCCAGCCCAGCCCTGCAGCCCCACTCCCTGGCGCTGAGCACCCTCTCCGCCCTTGGCACCTGCCCTCTGGCCAGCAAGCATGAGGCCTCTGTCCGGCACTGGCTCTGGTTCCAGCTGACCCTTTCTGGGCTGGGCGATTTTCTCCCCACCCCCACCCCACCCGGCTGCCTTCCCTCCCACAGAGCGGCTCGTGTACGAGGTGCGGCAGAAGTGCAGGAACATCGAAGGTGAGTCGTGCACCGGGCAGGGAGGGGGCGGCGGGCCAGACCCCTCTTGTCGCGGGGCCGCACGGGGCTGGGTGGGACGGTGCAGCTCCCAGCAGGGCTGCCTCCCCACCCCTGGGGCCCTGCCGGCAGCACTAAGGAGGGGATGGGTACAGCCACGGCTCAGGCTAGGGCCTAGACACCCCCCCGAGCCCCTCCCTGGCTGCTTTCCTGAGGCTGTGGGCAGCTGGGACGGTGTAGGGATGGCAGCAATGGCTCACACAGCCTGGTGAGCATGGCCTGTTTGCACCCACGCAGGGGGCAGATCGGGGCCAGTTGGGCCCACATGGCCCTGGATTGGGGGTGGGAGCAGGGAGGGGACCAGCCCGGGCTGCGGTGTCTGGGGAGAGCATCCTGGGAAGAAATAGGTAGGGCGGGACCCCCACAGCCCCCAGCCGGGATGAGACTCCGGTATAGCCATGGCCAGGCTGATGACCGGACCCCAGCATGAGGAGCCAGGCTGCGGGGTGCAGCGATAGCCAGTGCTGGGAGATGGTGGAAGGACATGGGGACAGCACCCAGTGCAACCTGCCCACCCCTGCACCTCTCCTCGCCCAGATATCTGCATCTCCTGCGGGAGCCTCAACGTCACCCTGGAGCACCCGCTCTTCATCGGAGGGATGTGCCAAAACTGCAAGGTAGGGGCTGTGCTGCGCTGGGCCCTGCCCCAGACCCCCTTTGTCCCCCGGGGCCAAGACCCCGGCTTCACTTCCCACCCAGATGGAGCTGCCCCTCCAGTTCCTTCTGGCCTGCGAGGCAGGTGCCCCGTGCCCGGGCTGGCCCAGGAGACAGGAGCGGGGGACCCAGGGGCTGACAGCTCATGCCCCGCATCTCCCCCCAGAACTGCTTTCTGGAGTGCGCGTACCAGTACGACGACGACGGCTACCAGTCCTACTGCACCATCTGCTGCGGCGGGCGCGAGGTGCTCATGTGCGGGAACAACAACTGCTGCAGGTGGGTGCCACCCGGATCGGGGCCCTGCTTCGCAGGGAGGAGAGTCCAGGAGGGGCTGGGAGATGGGGTCACGCTGAGCCTTGCCAGCAATGGAGCTGGGACAGCCCCCCATGTCCGCGGGGGAGCTGACGTGTCCCCACCCCCGGCCCAGGTGCTTCTGCGTGGAGTGTGTGGACCTGCTGGTGGGCCCCGGCGCGGCCCAGGCGGCCATCAAGGAAGACCCCTGGAACTGCTACATGTGCGGGCACAAGGGCATCTACGGGCTGCTGCGGCGGCGAGAGGACTGGCCTTCCCGCCTGCAGATGTTCTTTGCCAACAACCACGACCAAGAGTTTGTGAGTACTGGGCGTCTCGGGGGCACGGTGCTCAGAACTGCGGTGGGCGGCAGTCGCGGCCTGCACCCGCAGCACAATCCCTTACGCCGCCTCGTCGCGTGCTGCTTCCAGGACCCGCCAAAGGTTTACCCGCCAGTCCCGGCTGAGAAGAGGAAGCCCATCCGCGTGCTCTCGCTCTTCGACGGGATTGCCACAGGTGGGTGCGAACGCGTCCCTGCGCTCCGGGCTGGGAGAGACGCAGGCGGTTCCCGGCCAAGCTGGACGCCGGAAAGAGCCGTGGCTTGCTTGGGACTAGCTCCACGCGCGCAGGGAAGCAGTTGCTTGGAGCAGGGGGAGACACTGCCGGTCCCCGCTCCTCCAATCCCCTCGCTGCTCTGCGCTGCCCGCCACTGCCAGAAAACCCCAGTGAACACCAACAGGGAACGGCAGGTTCGGTGCCGCAGGCACGGAGCTTTAAATTGCTGCTTTAATCCCCCTGCCGTTGTCCGGTAAAGTTCTGGATCTTTGTTCCCAGGCCCGTCCATCTGCTGAAAGGTATTAGCAGATTTCTGTGCAGACTGAGAGGTCAGAAACGTGGGGTTTGTGTTCTCCCACCTGTCACCGGGTGCCCTCCTTTCTCTTTGTGATGGTTCTTTCTGGAGCGCGGCGGCGGTCTAGCGTCACCCGCACACTTCCCACGAGGGCATTCGGTGCGGTGGATGGGACGCACGTGTCGGTCCTGACGGGTTCATTGTGGTTTGGTGGCTCTGGAGATGAGTTGGTGGGTTTTGCATTTATTTATTCATTTGCTGAACTTGCCATCCTTCCCAGCAAGAGCTTGCAGTCAGAGGGCAGCGTAGCGACAAGAAAAGAAACCACTTAAAAGGGAACTAGAACAAGAAGATATCCCCTGAACAAGGGGTCACCTTGGCTTTGCTTGGTAAAAGCCCGCCCAGATAGGACTCTTACATTGCTTGCTGCCGACAGCCGGGCTCGGGCTCCGGCAGGCCTCAAGGAACAGCCTCCCACCTGGTTTTGCCACGCAAGGACGTGATTTTTTGGGCAGGGTTGTGCACGCATTGTGTTTGCTTCTGGGGAGGAGTTGGGTGATGTTTGGAGGTTGTTTGCAAGCCTGGAGCTTGGGTGGGCTGTGGTGGGGGGTTGTCCTGTGGGCTGATTTTCTCCAAGTGTCGGCTGCAATTATTGGATCCTTCTTACAGGTTTATTACGGCGGGGGGCGGGGGGGGCTCTACTGTAGCACTTGCTGCAGGGGATTGTGTAGCTCGCTCAAAGATGGGGCCTGTTTCTGCGTCAGAGCATCCTCGCCGGGTCAAGACTGTTTCCGGTTTGGCAAAGGGGTATCCCAGGTCCTCTCCGGCGGTGACGTATCAGGGGCTGACTAGAGATTGCAGCTTTCTGGGAGCGGCGGTTTGGGGGTTTCTGGTTTTGTGAGCAAAAGTGCTGTCGTCCATGGGATTTTGCATACAGTTGTTCATGAGGGAGCATTGTGGTGTCCAGAAAGTGAGTGCTGGATCTTAGTGATCAGAGGGGTATTGTAGAGCCATGGGGCTGGCAGGGAGCTCCAGAGGTCACATCTACTCCAACCCCCTGCCTGAGGCAGGATCAGGCCCGTCCAAACCAGCCCAGACGCTTCCAGTGTCCAACCTCTGAGCAAAACGAGTCACGCCTGACACAGCCCCAGGCATCGCCCCTGCCCCAGGGAAAGTGGGGGGCTGCGGCCGCCAGCGTCCTGGGTTATGGGTGTTGCAGAGAGCCCAGGCCCAGGCTGTGCCCCGCTGCAGAGGAAGGCAAAACCCCCCCAGTCTGAGCAGGGGGGAAATCCCTTCCTGCCCCAGTGCGGTGTCGGGATGAGCCCAAGCGCAGGGGCCAGACCCTCCAGCCAGGACCCTGCAGCGGGGTTGGTGCAGGAGGAGCATTGGCGCAGCCCGGCCTCATCCCCAGCCCGGGCTGCAGCACCCAGCGCCTCGGGGGGAGGCTTAAATAAAACTCCAACACGTGGAGCAGCAGGAGAGGAAAAATTCCCCCCCCAGCCCCGAGCTTGTTGAACCTGTGGTGGAAATGAAGAAGCCCGTCCGGGTGTTCGGTCCAAGGGATGGCAAACACGATCTATGCAATGCAGGTTTGCTGGTGCAGTTTTCCGAAACCTCTCTTCAAGGTGCCTCATGCAGAGGTGGCATCGTTGTGCCCCAGTGTGGAGGCCGTGTTGACTACGATGGTGTGGATGATGGATGGCCGGTGCGGTGTGTTGTCCTCAGACGTGCAAGTGCGGTCCATGTTCTTGTGGGTATTTTGGGCAGATAGCTGCACGCGCGGAGGGGGCAGGACGAGGCGTGCGGGCTGCTGCCATCCAGGGATGCCGCTTGGCGAGGTGGGTCGCGTTCGGGATCTTGAGAAATCTGCAGTGTCCTCTGGGAGGGTTGCTCTTTGAGCGACAAGTGCCGTGAGGACGGTTGCACCGGTCCTCGCTTCTCAGCGAGGGCATGGCCGTCGGGCAGGATGGGTCTGCCGGGGTTACCTGATTTCTGCGTCTTCGGTAGCGCGGACGGTGTTGTGCGGTGGGGCGTTGGTAACAGGCTTTTCCTGCAGCTGCTCGGTGGAGGAGTGAAAGATGTTTGAGTTTCAGGGTGACTGTTGGCACAAAATCCTTCCAAAGCTCTTCGTGGTAAATTGGCATCGGAGCAGTCATCCTGACGGTTGAGGATGCCTGGGGCAGCTCCTCCATCTGCTGGCTGCACCCCTGATTCCCTGCTGGATCTCGGGGGGGCTTTTCTCTCTGCAGGGGACGGGGTACTTTGCTGCGAGCTTTCTTCCAGAAGATGCTGACATTGTGGTCCGCAGTGGCTCTGTCCCTGGGAGCCATCCCTCCAAGCTGGGGTTGTGCTGTAGATTCATTAGAGCCTGGAGCAAGACGGTGGTTGGCCGCAGCTCTGTTCTGCTTGCGGGAGATTTCTTTTAAGGCCAAGTCGGCAGCAGATTCGGCAAGCCGGCAGCGACATGTGAGCGTCTTGGGTTTGTCCCGGCAGGCATCTGGAACGGGATCGCAGGTGCTGCGATGGGTGGCTGATGCCCGTGTTCCTGGTGATCGGCTGGATGGGATCTCGCGAGGCTGCACCTAATCCAGGATCAGCCCTGACTAAACCATCCCAGCGCCGGGTCTGCGCACGCTGCTCTCGGCAGTTTCCAGGCGTGGAGATTTCGCAGCTTCGCTTGCTCAAACCATCCTCGGAGTCAGGGAGCTCCTCCTCGTCTCCAGCCTCAGTTTCCCCTGCTGCAGCTTGAGGCCATTGCTCCTAGTCCGTCCATCCTCTCTGTCATCGCCCTTCAGGGATTTGCAGACTGTGTCCGATGCCCGTCAGGCTTCTCTTCTCTGGATTCAGCGCCCCAGGCTCTTTTCAGCCCTTCCTCCTCAGTCTGGCCTCCCAAGCAAGACTTTTCTGTCGCCGTGCGCTGGACTCTCCCGTCTCTCCGCGCCCTCCTTAAAGGCAGTTCTGGTCCCATCCGTGTTTCTGGCTGGGAGTTGGCTGTTGCAGTAGCTGCTTCTCCTCTTCCTCTGTGTTGGGAGGCCATCGCCGGGCTTTTCTGGTGTAGGGTCTGCTGCGTGCGTAATAGCAGAGTTAAATCTCGTGGTGCAGGCGTGCATGTGGAGCAGTGGTTGCTGCTTTGGGGATCAGTTCACATCTATGCACGAAGCCCTTCGGCTCTAACGCCAGGGGCTGGGAGCAAGCCCCCAACTCAGCCCAGCCTGCCGTGGTGTGGGTGTGCTTTGGGGGCCCCAGGGCCAGGGACCTGTGGCTGGGGGTGCCGTCACTTCTGTGCTTGCCCTTCTCTCCTGAACACGAGTTCAGGGAACGTCAGTAGCCGGTACCGGTGTGCAGCACGCTTGCCTGACTGGGGGACCCGCGCGTCCCAGGGGCCGGGAACGACGAGGGGCCGTGGACGAGGCAGTCAGAAAGGCTCCGGTGCCTGCCCCAGCAGAGCAGGGAGCTCAGTCCTCCAAAGCACCAACGAAAGGAGAAGAGGGGGCAATAGAGTTCTAGCTATGTAGCAGAGTGGCCGGGGAGTGGAGTGATGCAGCGTGGGATGCCTGGAGGGCATCTCAGATCTGACCCATGAGCCAGGATTTGGTTTTTCCAAGGACACTTCTGATCCATCCCAGCTGGCCGCAAAGCAGCTTAGCTGGCCCCTGCGCCTGCCCGCTTTGGGTTTAAACCATCTCAGTTGTTATGTGCATCCGTGGCCTGCAGCTGGCGGAGCGCATCAGCGTGTCCTGCCGCGGTTGGGGAAGGTGACGGCTGCTGAGCTTTGAGGTCCACCTTTCTGGCCACGTTGCATGGTCAGAGGGGCACGCATTTGGCTGAGGGCTGCGGAGACCCAGGCGCTGGGGGCTGCTGCCGCATGTGTCGCACGAACCTAGGAACAAGAAGGTTGTGGTCGTGAACTCGGGCAGGTCAGGACCGCACCTTAGAGACTGACTTGTTCAGAGAGACTTTTGTAGGCAGCAGAGTCCATCAGAGTCCATGAGACTTAGTGCAGGAAACTCAGGGAGTTGAGGTCACTTTTCTTCCTTCCCTGTTATGGGTTTTCCGCAGGGGATGGTGAATTCCTGCATCCTCCAGGCTGTGCCAAGGCGGGAGTGTTGCTGGACCTGTGAGGCCAGGAAATATGCCAGAAGTAAGGGCTGTGGATGACACTGAATGCTGCTGGTTATGTGACGGGGGTCAAATACTGCCAAATATTTAATTTACATACAGGTGAGGGCCCCTTGTACCTGCGTTGCTGCAGGGTGGCTGCACACATGCATGCACACAGTCGTGTGTACATAAGCGCACGTGCATGCACACACGCTTCACTTAGGCACGGGCTCCCCCAGCCCTGCCCCTCTCTCCTGAGCTCTCCCAAGTCGTTTTCCCTTTCCCAGCCCCATAGGGCCAGGAAGTCAGGACCCCACCCCATGGCGGGGGGCCGCGGGGTCTGGCTGCCTGCTGGGTAAAAAGCTCCCGGGAAGGACTGGACTCGGGAGGCTTTGGCAGATGATAGCTGTGAGCTACAGAGCTGAAAGCTGCTGGTTGCATCAAACACTGCAAGGCTTTTTACGCTGGCGTGTTGGGGCAGCCGGGGTCGTCTGTGTGGGGCTGCGGAAGCAGGAAGTCCCAGGGGAAAACTTTCGAAGCTTCGTGCTGGTTTTGTGGCGCCACATCTGTGCCACACGCAGGAGAAGGCTCGTGGCATTCACGGGCTGGGTGTCAGCTGCCGTCGCAGGTGGATTGTCGCGGTCCAACAGCCAGGAAGCGCCGGTTGCCCTGCTCCAAGGGCACCTTCCTTGGCGCTGTCGTCCTGCTTCGCTTACGGCAACCGCCTCGTCTCGGAGCACAGGCTCCTTTAACGAAGGCGGGGGCAGCGGTGACCATGGAACCAGCTCCATCTCACCGCTGCCCACTGACACTGTCGGTACCTGTGGGCCCCGGGATTGGGACCTCCGGGGCAGTCTTCGGGTGTTCATCGATCAGCACTGAAGGGCTGTTGGATCAGATACGCAGCGAATGCAGGACAGGCCTCGCCTGGATACTGGGTGCGGTTCTGGGCTCCACATTTTAAAAGGACATGGAGAAGTCAGAGAGGGGCCGGAGGCAGCAACAGAGATGATCCAGGGCTTGGAAGGCAAGTCCTGCGAGGAGAGGCTGAAGGAGCTGGGCATGTTCAGCTTGCAGACAAGATGCTCAAAGGGGCCACGACAGCAGCCTGCAAATCCCCAAAGGGCTGCCAGGGAGAAGAGGAAAGCCCTTGTTCTCTCGCTGCGGAGAGGAGGACGCCGAGCAATGGCTGGAAGTGGCAGCAAAGCAGGTTTAAATTGGAAATCCGAAAACACTTCTCCCTGCTCTGACAGTGAAGGTCGTGGGAGAGACGCCAGGGCAGGGGGGACTCCCCGTCGCTGGAGGTGTCAAGGAGAGGCTGGACGGGAAGGATGTAGGTGCAGCGATGCCTGTGCTCTGCCGTGGGGGTTTCCCAGGCTTCTGGGCTGTGCTGATTTCCCCCCACACGTCCTCTTCCGCTCCATGTGTTGAGGGGTTTTAACCCTCCCCCCGAGGCGCTGGTGCTGCCGCCCAGGCTGGGGATGCGCCGATGCTCCTGCTGGCACCGACCCCGCAGGGTCCCGGCTGGAGGGTCTTGCCCCCATGCTCAGGCTCAACCCGACGCTGCACTGCGGCAGGAAGGGATTTCCCCCCTGCTCAGACTGGGGGGTTTTGCCTTCCTCTACAGCGGGGGCACGGCCTGGGCTCTCCTCTGCAGCGCCCGTGACCCCCCGGCAGCAGTAGGACCTTGGTGGCCGCAGCCCCCCTGTATCCCGGGGGCAAGGGCAGGGGCGATGCCTGGGGCTGTGTCGGGGGTGACTGCCGTGTGGCTCCAAGCTCGGACACGGGGTTTGTCTGGAGGGTTTGATTAGGGCTGATCCTGCCTCAGGCAGCTGGACTCAGTGCGACCCATGGAGCTCTCTTCCAGCCCCGCTGTATGATTTCCACGACCAGAAAAATGAACCTGATGGCATGTTCCTCAGAGGGATTTATGCCAGCGATGCAGAGACAGCTGAAAATCCTCACGGGCTAGCACTTGTTTTTGCACCTGACTTGTGAGGCTCCCAGCAGGATGTGGCTTGGAGGGAGGGAAGGAAGCCTTCAGGGTGCTGAAGGAGAAGATATTCACAGCGAGGGTATCACCAGCTTCCCCGTAACAGCTCCTAAGCCAGCATCTCACTCCTTCCCACGCACAGCAGAGAATCGCTGCCCGCCCAGTTATAAATATTGTCCCCAGTTTAGGACCCCAGGAGGTTATTTCGGCTGGGCCTGACGGTGCTGCTAGCCTGGCCTGGGCTTGGTTGATGCCTGTGCATCCACACAGTCTGCATTATGGATGCGCCGCCTACGCGATGCAGCTCTTTGTGGTGCCACGGAGGCTCTGAGCGCTTCCCCTCCCGTGCATCGAAGCTGAGAGGCCTCGCCCGTCTCCATTATGGACCCTAGTAGCTGCATCAAAGCACGTGCTCTGTCCTGGTGCAAAGGGTCGAATCCTCCCCACAGGGCAGGAGCTCTGCCAGCGCCTCCGTGCACTGCTGCACGTGTTGGTCCATTGGGGTATCGTCCGTCTGAGCAGCAGAAGCAGACCGGTGCCCCCGTGGCTGCAGGGCTGGGGCTGTAGACAGCTAGCAGTCGGGAGAGGAAGGCGTGACCGGGTGTTCGGAGGAAGATGACAGTGGTGTAGATAAAGCAGTTGAAGCCAGTGAAGAAAATGCACCGCCAAATGCTGGAGGCACTGGTGCAGCCTGCTTGGCTTAAGGGCATTTAAAATGGACTCCGGTCTTTCCGAGCCGCTCTGCAGGTCTGATCCCAGCGCAGTCTCACGTGTCCAGGCTGACCTGGGATTTGGGGGCAAAAGTTGGGAAGAATTGTCCACCCTTGACTGGCGCTCCCGTTTCTACCGACAGTAACTCCTTACGGACCTTTAGAGCTGAACGTCTTGACTTCACACCAGCCATTAACTCACTTGCTCCTTCGTCGTTAGCGCCTTGCCTGCGGAAGGTCCTAGGGCAGCTTAAAGTCTCTCTCTAGCTGTCCAGATAAAGTAGTGCTTTTAAAACATTTGACTGAGACTTCGCAACGTTTGACTGGTCAGTTGGGCAGATACCAGCCCTAGAGAGCTCTGTCCGGGTCCCATAGTCCGGCCCTGGCACAGCCCATCCCAGACCACTCGGTCCAGCCCCCCTCAGTGCCCTTCTCTGCCTTGGCCTGAAAAAAGCACCGGCATCCCCGGTACCTTGCGTCTGCCCTGGCCCTGCTGGCACAGGAAGCCCCAGCTCTAGGCGTTTGGGGTCGGGGGCCAGAGCCAGGCCCATGCTGGGCAGGGGCAGCTGCCTGGATCCCTTCGTCCCGTGCGGGGGGACTAGTCCTGTTCGGTGGGGGCCGTGCCCCATGTCCGCGTGCGCAGCCGGGCAGGTCTCCTGCAAGGAGCTCTGCCACGGTTCAGCCCCTGGCCTGCCCGCCTTGTCCGTCTCGGGGAGGCTGCTCAAGGGCGGGGGGCCTGGCTCGGGCCTGACCCCCTGGTCTGTGCTGGCAGGTCTGCTGGTGCTGAAGGATCTGGGCATCCAGGTGGATCGCTACATCGCATCAGAGGTGTGCGAGGACTCCATCACCGTGGGCATGGTGCGGCACCAGGGCAAGATCATGTACGTCGGGGACGTGCGCAACGTCACCCAGAAGCACGTACGTGAGCCCCTGATCCCCTCCCGCCCCACAGCTCCCCTTCCCACGCTGCCTTGGGGCTCCTCTGCCCCCCGCGTGGCGGTACCCCCGGCACCCTCACGGCTGCGGTCTGTGTTGCAGATACAGGAATGGGGCCCCTTTGACCTGGTGATCGGAGGAAGCCCATGCAATGACCTCTCCATCGTCAACCCTGCCCGGAAGGGCCTGTACGGTAGGTGCCGCGCCGGCTGTGCCTGCTTGCCTTCGTGCCCAGGGCCGGCGCCATCCCGTGACGCCGCTTCCTCTGCTTGTCTCCTGCGCAGAGGGCACCGGGCGGCTCTTCTTCGAGTTTTACCGCCTCCTCCATGAAGCCCGGCCCAAGGAGGGCGACGACCGGCCCTTCTTCTGGCTCTTCGAGAACGTGGTGGCCATGGGCGTGAGCGACAAGCGGGACATCTCGCGCTTCCTCGAGGTGCGTGGGGTGGGGACGGGGGCACAGGAGCCTGGGGCAGAGTCCGAGGCCACGGGGCGGTGCTTTTCCGGCTGAGAAGTCGGGCTGAACGTGGCACGGAGCCACGGTGAGGGCTCGTCCTCCCGGCCTGCGCGGTGTGGGGGCGGGTGGCAGGGCGAGGCGGTGCCTCGGGTCCTGGCTGCAGCCCTCACCGCCGCCGTTCCCTGCCTTGCAGTCCAACCCCGTGATGATCGATGCCAAAGAGGTGTCTGCCGCGCACCGGGCCCGGTACTTCTGGGGTAACCTTCCCGGTATGAACAGGTTGGTGAGAACCCCGAGTGGCCCGCCACGACCTGGCGGGCTCCGT